CAGACAGGGCTGTGGTGCCGAGGGAGAGGAGGCAGGCTCCAAGGCGGGCTGTGAGGGACGAGCAGGTCCCTGAGCCACCTACAAGGCCTTAACCGAGGGTGGGGGACTTGGGTGCCAAGTCTCAGACAGCAAAGGCCTGGGAGGAGATGGGAGAGGCCCCAGGGAGAAATCCGGGGAGTTAAATTTGAGAGGTCTGCAGAAAGGGAGTGCGGCTCATTAGATCGTTAGATCGTCCAGAGGCCACGTGGGCGTCAACACCGCATGGCCGCCAGGGGCTCTGACTCACAGCTCTGGGAGTACAATTTGCACAGCCCTATGCAGGACCATTCGGCAAGAGCAGTGAAGCCCACGCATGCGCACACCTGGGACCAGCCATCCCTCTTCTAGGACGGTGTCTCATCCACCTCCCACGTCCGTGCAAAACGGCACAGGTAACAGCCTAGTTGCTTTGATGGGAGCAGCAAAGTATTGGAAACTCCCTAAATGTCCATCGGTGGGCGCCAGGAAATAATTGCAGTGCCCCAAACAACGGGGTCCCGTGCAGCTTTAAACGGCATGGAAGTTCACTCTGTTCTGACGTGGAAATCGCTCCAACAGATAATCACGGGGGGCCAAGCTCGCCGCAGAGCAGTCTGCAGAGCGCTGCCGTGAGGTCAGCAACGTGTGGAAAACACATTTGTGTTGGCCTCTGTGTGCACTGAGGCAGCCGGGAAGAGGAAACCAGCAACTGGCGGTGGCTACTTGTGAGCGTGTGTGCGCAGGTGCGTGGGGGGGCGGCAGTAGGGGAAAGACAGATTTCATCGTGCGTCTTTTAGTTCTTTCTACTATTGAACCACGTGAATGTGTTGCTTTTCGGCATTTTATAAGGTAACATCGAACTGAGAAAAGGGAGCCAGTGCTGCTCGGGGAGAGAGGAGGGGACGTGAGGCCTGCGTGCGCCGGGTGGGACTGTCCGGCCATGTCCAGCGCCTGTTCGAAGTGGGTTCGTCGGCAGCCTGAGATTTCGCCCAGCAAGTTCAGTGCTCAGGTGCCGGCAGGAGAGGCTCCGGAGAGGTTCCAGCAAGGAGCCTGCGTCTGAGCTGGCAGGAGCGTTGAGGGCAAGGGGCTGTGAAATAGTTTTGGGGCACAGGATGGGGTACAGCCGCTGGCGAGTGACTGCAGGGACGGGAGGCCCCCACGGAAGAGACCCTTGCAGGTGAGTGGCCTGACGGAGCGGCGGACGTGTTGGGAGCTGAGGACTTAAGGAATTGGGAAGGTGGGTGTGCACGCCGAAGCCGCCAAGGATGCTGACCATGTGGTCGAGGGGGTCAGGGGGCAAAGGCTCGTGTCCTCTGAGAATGCCAGGGAGCGACCCAGAGGGGAACAGACGAAAGCAGCGGGGAGGACCAGGGAGAGGCATGGCTGCCGGTGCGGGGGATACAATCGGCCTCAGCCCCTGGCTCCTGCCCCTCGCCTCAGGGCAGATAGTCCTTGGATGAGGCTTGTGCTGGTGTCTTCCCTGGGAAGGCTGCACCAGGGGCCACCCCAGGAAGGAGGGAGTCCGTGGTGCTCTGATTCTCTGAGCCTCCCAGGTGGGTGGGGCAGCCATCGAATCTGTATTCGAGGACGGTGGTGAAGCAGATGGTCAGTCTCCTGTGTGGACAGTTACCGTCCCTGCGGATACCCGGAGGGCCTGGAACAGTGTGGGGTCAGGAGACTGTGAGGGCACCTAGCTAAGATCTCCGCTAGCATGACACAGGGCCCAGGGCCACCTGGATGGGACAGGCTGTTGGCTTGGAGTTGGCCTGGAGGCTGGACCCACAGCCCGTCCCATCCAGGTGGCCCTGGGCCCTGTGTCTCCAGCACAGGTGGGTTGGAACCGTGAGCGTCAGGGTCAATGAGGACAGCTTGAACAGCTGGGTCCCCCCACCTCCCAGGAGGCTGGCCCGGGCTTGTTCACATGATGGCAGGAAGGTTCCAGCACCGGGCGAGGGCAGGCCTGGCGCACGGTCACTTTTCCGGCTTTTGCTTCTGTCACATTTGCTAATGTCTCAGCGGTGAGGACCAAGTCCCGTTTCAAGGGCTGGAGAAACAGGCTCCCTTCGGGTGGGAGGAGCTAGAGAGCGTTGTGGCCGTTTCCCCATCACCATCTCGTGGTCCCTAACGGGACTGGATGGAATGGGCTCCTCAAGGACGGCTCCCTGGGAACAGCAACTCTTGATTCAGACACTCTTGAGCTTCAAAGACGAGTGAGATGCCCAGCACACTCGACACAGGGGTGGGTCAGGGAGAGAATGACCGTAGCAAGCGAGGCCATGAAAAGGGGCGGGGCCGGCTGCTGCGGGGACACCCGGCCTGGGCGAGTGCTCCCTGGGCGCTCTCGCTCATCCGCCTGGACAGCTCCTGACACGGCCGTCTTCCTCTGCGCTCGGGGACTCTGTCTCTGCGGGGCCGTCCTTTGCCGATACGAACAGCCCACGTTTGTAGCTGAGCAACTTTCTCAGTCTTTGTATCGTCCAGGGTCCAATTGAGAGGCAGAAACTACGCAGCCATCGGACCAGGGAGCCGTTAAAGGACCGGACTGAGGAACGGGATTGGCCGCTGTGTCGGAAACCAGCCGACCAGGTCAAACCGGGTCCCTGAATGGGGGAGCGGGGACTGAGAAAAAAGAGAAGACAGACAGGGTGCAGGACGGAGAACAGATCTCACAACTGTCTCTCCGAGTTGATTTCTTAGGCTCCTTTCTATACATATTCTGTTCCTTTGTGTATCCCAAGATAACATAGTTAGAGTAACATCTTGAAGATCAGGGTACAATCGACACTCTCTTTGACACTCTCTTTTTCTATACTTAATCTTCTTCTTCCTGGAATTCCTCAGAACCAGCCTTTTGCCTTTTTATATGCAAGCAGGCCTCCCGAGATAATCCATGCCCTCCTTTGAATTTTGGGAGCTT